CTTCTTGAGGTTCATTGAGGTTCAACATGTGTTGGAAGTCATTGCTAAACCCCCCAATTGAATCCATTACTACTACAGTAAACAATGTAAAATAACAGTAACAGATCGAGTACGGTCGACCTCCCAACGACGGCCATCTTTTACGCTACGTGTCCGTTGTTTACAGTTTCGACTGTATGAGTTAAATGAATGAATTTAGAGAGAAATATAAATAAAAAGCTGTAAATCTATCGAAGAACGTGCAGTGGAGCATGAATTTTTAAATTCTTTCACCTAACTGGTTTGTCCAGTTTAACGTCTTTTCGAGTAAACATGACGAGGAAGATCTGTTCACTTCCGGATGACGTGATGTGTTCGTTAGTTTTTGTTTTTATATTATTTTTATTCTTGTTGTAAATCTACACCCCATCTTATTAATTCGTTCTTGTCTCTCTAGTGATTATGACCGTTTATGGACTCCCAAAAGAGGGCCCTGAGGCCTCTAAACTATTAGCTTTGTTCCCCTTCGGAAGAAATGTTGCGGTGAGGTTGGATCTCAAGGAACGAGGGTCTTTTTTAGAGTTATCACTACATAGAATTTATGGGCATACAGCATTGGAGTGTATGAAACCACTGGTGGAGGATTCGAGCCTCACCGACCACGTGGAGTTTCCCGGTTTTCTTCACCTAAATAGGCGCAGTTTCCTATAGAAAGTCTTCTCTGGAGAGCAGATCGCCCGATACAGACACGAGAGAGGATTAATAGGGTATGAATGGATAAAATAAGTAAAGTGGATCGATACGTTGGGATATCCTGAATAGGATTTAAGGGCTGGATGAAACCACCGAACACTGAAACTCGTCGAGCACGTGGGGTTTACCAGGTTTTCTTCGCGTGCCGGACACCTAAATGGGGGGAGGCAGTTTCCTACAGAAAGCTTTCTCTGGGGGGGCACATCGCCCATTACAGAGATAAGAGAGAATTAATAGGATATGAACAGTCAGGTTGGGATATCCTGAGTAGGATTTAAGGATGCACAATTGTTCCTAATATATTCACCACACTACAATGGATGAAACCACCAAACACGCGGGTGTTCTTCACATGCCGAACACCTAAATGGGGCCAATTTCCTACAGAAAGAGCGGATCGCCCAATAACAGTCCTTAAATTGTTGGAAACCTTTTAATTAGGTTAATTAATCAGCCATTTGTAATGCTTTAAAACCTTGAAATTACAATCGGTAGGGCCTTCAAAAAAAGAAGGCAATTTCCACAGAAAACACCACTGTTCCACTCGCATCCCATATACCGAAAGAGGAGCATCCAAGTTTGTGGAGCGGCAATTTGTACCATCTCGCCTCCTTATATTTAGATCAGGGGGTGGTTTCGGGTGTTGGAAAATAATTAAATTATTTTTATAATTGTTTCTTTCTAAGTAATCGGCCGTTTCAACCTATCAGCAGTTACGCCCATTGAATGAAAACTATAATTAAGTAGCCCCATAAAAGATAAATTGTCCTCTTTTAAAAGGTCGCCCCCTCGAGATGTATCCGATAGGGCAGTAAATGTATATTTAGAATAATATTTCACTTGGTAAAATCTAGTTTTTTTTAGCCCTTATCATGATTTAAATCTTGGTGGAACAAGGTCAAAAAAATTTTAAAGGGCGTGTTTACCATTTCGTGAATATGCGAAATTGTAAATTATGAGTTTCCTTAATTCTTCCAGGGTTATTTTTAGCGATATTTTTCCGCACTTTACTCAATTAATTCCTCAATTTTGAGAGTATTTATACGAATTTTTATCCATTTTTCTGCGGAATTTCCTGGCTTTGACTGAATTAATAAAACCCGTTTGTTCCGAGTATAAAAAAGGCTAGTTGAGAAATTTTAATCGGATTTTTATACTCTTATTTAGCCTGAAAGTGAGCTTTTTGTACATTTGTTTCAATTCGTACGAGCCTGTGAACCTGGAGGTAAAAGCCGAGCCTGAAAATTTGTGCATAGACGGGAGCATAATTTCTCCCTTTATCTGCACTCCTTCTGTAATTCAGGCTACGCGAAATATATTTTTATAAATCAGACATTTGTATTACTTTTATTAAATGCCTGTGAATCTGAAGATAAGATCTGAGCCTGAAAAATCTGAGCGTAAACTGTAGCACATGTTTTCCTTTATCTCCAGTCTTTCTATAAGTAAGGCATGACAAAATATATTTTTTATTAAATATAAATAAGGCTTTTGTATTAATTTATAAGGTGTCAAGCCTGAAAATCCACACATATAAAGACAAATTTCGTATATTCAGAGGTAGTAAGATAACTATTTTTTTATAAATTAATCTTTGCATTAATGTATTGGGCCTTCTTTAAAATAATTAGCCTGAAAATCTGTTCATAAATACGAACATTTTCGGTATTTCCTTCGGTCTTTTAAACTCAAAAATAGGCTTTGAAAGTGTGAAAAGTTTCAGGCTTTTTATTAGAATAAAAAGCCTGAAAATCTATATACAAAGAAGCAGTTTATTCGGCTTACTTATATCCTTTATAACTAAAAAAAATAGGCTTTATTATAAATAAGGCCTTTGTATTAATCTACTGACAGTTTTATAAGATACTAAGCCTAAAAATCTATATATAAACAGAAGGCTGTTCATTTCCTTTAACCTTTTAAACTAAAATAATGCATATTTTCTTATATTAAGTTTGATAAGTGATTAAAACCTGAAGATATAGGCTATTATTGTGTTTTAAAATGTTTTTTGTAATTCAGGCTTGACCAAATAGGATTTTAAAAATCAGGCTTATATTTTAATCTATTATAGATAATGCTCTTAAAGGTGAAAGCCTGAAAATCTGCACGTAAACAGGAGCATTATCCTTTAGTTAAAGGTTTAAATTAGCCTGTAAAATACTAAAATAAAAATTACAGTTTCTTAAATAAGACTTTTGTAGTTAAATAATTTTTAAATGAGCCTTTTTTAAAATAAATAACAATTAAAAAAACAGGCAAGACAAAAAAAACTAGATCATTAACTCTTGTTTAAGAAAAAATTCTGCTTGTTTCTTCTAATTAATCAGATTAATTAGCAGGCTCCTGCTCTAGATCATTAATTAAAGTATAAAATGTATAACCTTGTGTAAAGTGTAAATCGTTTTACAAGTAAATAACCTGAAAGGCCTCAAAAGGCCTTAAAAAATGCATTCAATTTATGATTAGATAACACTTAAGCAGTTTACGAGCTTAAAAAAAAGGCTTTCCAATACTTATTAATTAGTTTTTAATGTAGTTAAGTCAGCCTCATTTTATTTAGAAAGGCTTTCTTTCATAACGTTATGTTACTAATAAGGCTACCAGTCTTAACAGTAGTGTCGCTCTTAATCTGCTTGCTAAGTTACACAGGCAAAACATAAGCCTGAAAACACCTTAACCAAGTACCCAGGCTTATTCTTAGCTTGATTTTTATTGGTAATATAAGCCTCATTTCATCCCGAAAGGCAAAAATCGAGAGTTTCTTTTATGCTTGACATCACAAAAGGAAGCCTCGATGACGTTTGCCTTTCACACACTGACGTTAATGATAAGGCTACCAGCTTAAACGTAATATCACCCTTAGCTTGCTTGCTAAGCTACATAGGCTTAGAATAAATTTGAAAATATCTCAGGCTCATACTTGGCTCGATTTATTCGCAAGATAAGCCTGAATTCAGCACTTAAAAGAAGGCTTCTCGTAAGGCTCGTGTATATATAAACGAAGGCTAATTGTCAATTTTAAACAAGCCTTACCTCATTTAGGAAGGCCGAAATCGAAGAGAAAACGTTCGACATATAAAAATAAAAATAAAAAAAGTGGGAGAAGCCTTCCAGCAGGGGAAGTGGCGCCTGCACGTTCGAGACTGCAGTATATACACACACACACACACACACACACACAAAGCAGGAAACTACGTGGAAGGCGTGGTTTGGTGGCCGTCAATCAAGCGTAGCAGTGGGAGGAGCCTGGGCAACAACCGTATCTTCCATGTCATTCAATGATGGTCGGTGTAGAGTCGTGCTTACTCCATTGGCCTGCTTCAGACGGTACATGCACTAACTGTCGATCATGTTGTAGCCAAAATACAGCTGTTTAGCCCTGTTTGTTCTACTACATGTCAACAGTTTGATCTAAAAGTGTCAATTAGCAGCACTTTCACATTGCCCACTTTCGCATTTTTGTGTAGCAAAGATGGATCCTCATGCGGATACTTTCTCGTGATGTGACACCATGTCCTACTCGCAGTTTGGATACTCTTATCCACCTTCCAGCCAGGTAAGTTGCCCCCTTCGTTTCCCTATGCCTCATATTATATATTTTTTGAAGGTTTAGAATTTAAAAGAAGTGCAGGAATCTCCCTCTTTGACGGCCCCGAGCTGCCAAACTGCTTCCAAGAGACAAGATAATTAGACATAAGTTGTAGGGACACGCCTGTTATTACAGTGCCTGAAGTACCTGCACTTAATCACAGTGTTGGTAAGAGTCATTTGTAACCCTTACATGTTACAGCTGATGGTTGGAAGCCAAGCGGGCAGCAGTCCTGGCACCTGCTGTGAACCCACTACCGCGTCTGAAGGCCTGGCCACCACTTACGATCCGTGCATCCTGTCTACCTATGGACCACGATTCTACCCTGCTACTTCGTACCCGGCTGAAGCTGCACCTTCTACAATATACCCCTCCTTCGTAAGTACCAGATTCGTGTATTCTACTTAGCCTTTAAGTCCCTCGCGAGGATCCCTACGTAACTCGATTTGAGCCATTATTAAATTCCTCCTGAGGATCCTACAAGATGGGCGGTTTCAGAAGCGATCTTCTTAGGCCATCCAGGAATGCTCCCGCCAGTGAAGGCGATTTTATATTTAAGATTTATAAGGCCCTCGAGTGGAGGATAGGCGCCATTTTATCCCATTTCTCAACGTTGAGAATCTGTTACTGTTGTAACGTTTTTATTGCGCGTTACGAAGTAACGGGGAGCGATTTTGTTGATGGAAAAATAAAATTGAGCCACTCTCCGAGGAATCTAATCTAATTCTACGCTGTTTTGTCCTTAAATTTCGTGAAAGCGTAACTTTTCTCGGGAGTAACGGCGATGTTTTCACCTAGAAAACACTCTGTTACGTAACTTGTAGTGGTGGCTTGTACTGTTTTAATTTCGAAGTTTAAGGTTTTCTAAGCGCGTATCTCACAGTATATCATTTTGAATGATTTAGGCCTGTGGCGTAACATATACTCACGTTACGCGCTATCAAACAAACCATATGTTTGCCTATTTTCTATAAGTTACCGAAGCACGGAAGGACTTAAATTAAATCGTTATATAGTTTTCTTATTCAAATTTTATCCGAGATAATAGGGCCTTTAGAGTGAAGTTACGCCGTTAAAATGCTGGAAAATTATTATATAATCCGTAACTTTTATTGTAGATAATCTGCAGTTGCATGCGCTAGTGTAGTTACAAAGCACCCCAAGGGCCTTAAAATAGCGCATTAAGATGGCAAAGTTTAAAGGCCTGACGGTATCTTGTCATCGGGATCTTTCGTCCGCTGTATAATGACCTAAGGCCTCTTTGTTTTTTTTAGGATTTTTTTGTCTTTTAGGCCCGTTTCCGAGCCTCATAAAGCGCCTTATCTCACCACGTCCTGTGTCGATAATTTTTTATCTTCCATTGGCTTCCTGCCATTATTGATATGAGGTCTAAGTGATGCGAGTCTTATTAGTTCCGGAATTGGAAGTTATTGAAAGAAGGGCCTTATTTATCCAATTATTTTCGACTTTAATTGGAACTTTTGGCTAAAACGGCGCGTGAAATCTGGGTGGAGATCGCACTTAGATAGGCATCTAAGACCATAAAATAAGACCCCGCCACGTCCGATTCGGACTATCTGATTAGATAGCCACATCCTTGATGACTTAATAAGCTTTTTAGTGTATTCTGAGCCTTAATGAGCCTGTTTCAGCCTGGTTGTAAGCAGTGTTACCGCTGAAGGCACGCCAAGACCCCTGAAAAGATGTCTACTTCAGCGGTGTCAGAATTAGCTTCTGCGGTGTTTTTATTAACGCTAATGCCTACAATTGCTGTTCTGTTATGCAAATGAGGCCGGACGGAAATTATAGGCCTTTTAAATATATATTATCTCCCCTTTTCTGATGTGTATAAAATCAAGGCCCTTCGGACTTCTCCCCAAGTACCAATTAGCCTATGGGTGGAGCAGTTGTGAGTTACAAAGACAAATAGGAGGGCAAAAATCGTTAAAATCTCCTGGCGTGTACATAAAAAGAGAAGGCATAATTGATATATGCCCTCTTTTGAAAAGATATTGACGTTTCTAGGCCTTAATATGTGCATTAAAACACGTTATATCTGCATTCTGCCTTCTGCGTTTGCTGAATGGTTACTTTCTCCTGAAAATTTAGACTTTAAATACGCTTCTAGTGTATATTTTAAACTAAGTAACATTTTTTAGCCTGCTGAAGTAGACGAAAGGCTAGGCCACCTTATACAATAAGGATAGGCTACCTTATACCTTATATCAGGCCAAGTTACACGAGAATACGTTCACTCTTAAGTTATAATGTGCCCATAAAGAATGGCCTATGTATGAAGGCTATTCTTGGTATATTTTAGCAGTTATAGCCTTTATAATTAGTTACAGTTTGGTATAATTTAAGGCTATCAGTTAATCTGACTCTACAGAAGATGACTTTCTCTGTAGAAAGCCTTCAGTTTAACGCTTTTTAAGCTTTGTAAAATGCCTATTTTGGGAGAAATGTTTTTAATCTAACTCTTTTCGAAGGCATAAGCCTTAGGCCTTCAATTTGGAAGAGCCTTAAATGCCAAAATAGTTTTTAATATTTCAAATTTAAGGTCTTAAAAGTCAGTTGTTGGAGGTGACTTCTGGTAACTTGTATATGATTTTTAAAGACTTATTTTTAGTGGGAAACTTTATCGTTGCCTTATTATGAAGGCTATAACTTGACATTAAAGACTCATTAATATTTAATACTTAGATTTTTGAACTTGTAGAAATTAAAGAAGTCTTACATATTTGATTCGAAGTAAGCTAATCTGTTTAGAAAGAAAGGCGAAGTGTGGGTCTTCCAACGAAAGTGGATTGCCTTTTCTAATCTCATTTATATCTAAAGCCTTATAATTTAACTTTTTCTACATTCGTGGGCCCTATAATTGACCTTTGCTTCAATTATTCTGTATAAAAATGACAACAGAAGGTGGCGGTTTCACAGGCTTTTCTCTGAAATACAGTGCATGACTAGCCTTCATAGCAATACAGAAACCTTATCTAGTTAGCCTTTATGTAAATTAATTACTATCTGCCTTCATTTAGACGCTCTAAATTAAAGAATAGTGCCTTAATTTTGCCTGAAACAAGTTGCGTTTCATACCTTACTCAACCTACCCTTTATTATATAAGGCTTACACTTATAAGGCTGGCATCAATTACTTATAAATGAGATAATACATAAGGCCTGAAGGCCTATCGATCATGTGAAATGTATCACACGAGGCCTGTGCTAACAATTTCGTTATTGATGTACGGTGTATGTCGTGTGATCAATCCCCGTCCTAGAAAGAAGGCAAAATGTTGGAAAGCCTTTCAATTTTTTTTAAAATTATTAAGCCTTATTTTCTCTTATAAAAGGTTTTAATCGTTTGATTTAGTATATAATTCAACCAATTAACGTGAATAAAACGCTTCAATAGGTAAGAAACATTGCCCTGGTTCTGGACGACTGTACGAAGTAGGGCCTGATTTAATAGGCAATTATGGCAATTTTTGCGTAGAAAATTGAATGTTTATTAAGAATTTAGTGTTTAAAGTCATTAATAAAGGTTAATTTTTGCTACAGAATTCTTACAGCGTCAAAGATGGCGGCGATCCATGGAGAGGACTGCCTCCTACTTCTTACTACTACGCTGATCCTACGCTATCGGCATACGGGTGAGTCGATGCTATTATAGTAATAACACAGCAGCACTCGATTCTGATAGGTAAATATATAAATTACACCATTATGATAGCCTGTAGACACGGGAAAGTACTTACTACCACACAGGAAGCTCAGTACCTAACTACTTGTTCCTTGCAGTAAACTGCAAGAAGTAAGTAGTAACCCGGGCATCCTTTGCTGTGTCCATCTACACTAAAGGTGCATTTACAGGTATGGAGGCTTAGATCTGAATAGTGCACGCAGGAAAAATGTCACCAGGGACTCTACGACGACCCTGAAGGCCTGGTTGAACGAGCACAGGAAGAACCCTTACCCCACCAAAGGGGAGAAGATCATGCTGGCCATCATCACCAAAATGACGTTGACTCAGGTGTCCACGTGGTTCGCCAATGCAAGAAGGAGGTTGAAGAAGGAGAACAAGATGACGTGGGAGCCCCGAAATAAAATAGACCAAGAGGACGACAGTCAGTCTGCAGATCTTAACGATACGGACAGAAGAAACGATGGCATTGGCGCCGCACAAACCTACCCTCCAGGTGTGCATCCCTTTTTTATCTAAAGGCCCCGGGCCTGAGCGCTTACCGTACCGAGTTTCGGGTACTTAAACTGGCCCAACGTCACTGTTTTATACATTTAATTTATAGCCCGATGCTTGATGACGAGTTGAAGTTTTGAGAGTTTTTATGGGGGGTCCTCCATTGTTTTATCGTGAAGGGCACCGATCGAATTCTTAAATATTTCTGAGGGTTCAGTTTAAGAGCCGAAGCGACCCACCCGTAAAATTCATAAAACTGACAAATTCGTTTGTTTCTTACAGAAGAAGAGATCAGCCCCTACGCCCACCAGGACCAGGAGAGACCCATTTATCCCACAAGTTGCGAACCAATCGCCGAATTGACTCCACCAACGTCGACAGAGGCCCACTCTCCAGATATCGAAGCCCTCATGTCGCCCCCAGACAGCAAAGAAGCGGTTGTAGACCAGTCGAAACCGAAAATCTGGTCGCTGGCCGACACTGCAACGAGCAAAAGCCCACCACCCGTTCAGGGACCCGAACCGTGTTCCTGGTACTCGGCACCAACTTCTCATCCCTCTCCACCCTACAATCCACCGAATTATATGGGCACTTACGCAACGGCTGCGCTACCCACCGACACTCCACCTCAAACACCACCCAACATGAAAGTGTCTTCGTTGCATCTGTCACCTCCCAACTACCACACTTCGCTGACTTACTTCGGTAACGCCACAGGAATGTGTGCTGCCAACATTCCATCTCACGTGCATGGTAAGTACCCCCCACTTTTCGCATAAAACATTAAAGTAGAGTGTCTAAAACATGGCGAAGATCGCTAGAAAATTTAGTAATTTTTTACAGCCAGTAAGCTTACTGCTACTACCTTCTTACTAAGAAACTCTAAAGAACGTTCGCGTGTCTAACCGTTCCTCGGCTATTTCGAGGATTTCTGGCAATTTAACTCGAATTTTTAGGGCTCTGTATACTTCTGTATGGAAAGGAACCATATTTAAAATTGTATATCTATGGTTCCTCTCTTAAATACACACGCACGCACACCAAAAAAAAGCGCGTGGAAAAGCGGCGGTTAGCTTATCTCTCCCAATTCTTTACAGAGGACAAACTGGTACCCTGCCCGGGTCACGTCACCGAAGTCAACCTGCCGACGGCGGACTATCGACCGGATTATCCAACAGACGATTACAGTTTGCACTATCGACCCGTGCACTAATCCAACTAACCTCTTTGACAGCATAGAAGCCCATTAAATACCAGCAGAAATGGCAGAAAAGGAGTAAGGTTTCAGGACCAAAAAAATAAAAAAAAATAAAAAATCACCCCCCTCTATTGAAATAACGATGGGAAAGAGTGGGGGACGAAGATGATTCTAATCACATACACACCCCCGATACCCCCGAAAAGAGCACTAATTTAAGAAAATAAAATAAAATACAAGGGAAATTAAGAGATCTCTCTTTGCACATTTCACTCATCACAGGTGCTGTTCTCTGATGATACTTCTTCGAATTTTTTAGGTATTTTCTTGGTTTCTAGTGAAAAAAAAATGGATGCCAACATCAAAAAAAGTAAAGGACACAAGCTGCTTTTTTCGGATTAGTGTTTTTTCGTCTTAAAAAATTCTAGATTTTAAATGTTTTTTAACTGTGATAGACGTAAAGTCTCTCTACCTCTCTCTTCTGCTTCTATATTAGGGCTAAGGAGAGAGTTAACTGTACATAAAGTGTAGTTATTTAATAAAGTTTAAGTGTACTTTTCTCGTGTTGTTGGGACACTCTACTTTTTTTTTTCTTTTTCTTGCTTTTACTTTCCGTACCGGCCGCCACGCGTCGCATCGTCGCGCTCGTTCGCGCCCGGTTCCCGCGTCCAAATTTAGCAACGCGTTACGACTGTTACGAATCGGGCTTTAAGGTGTCACCATCTAGTGTTTAAATCGGTAAACATCCCCACCGAGCGAGCGGCATGTGGTGATGGTGGTGGTGGTGGTGGTGGTGGGGTGTTTGAGAGAGCATCCCGCGTTCCACCTGCAATAACATATCAGTAACAATCGGAAGAAGCGAAGGAGTGAAGTGACGACAAGCCTTCTATTGGGGTATGACTGATAATGATAAAGCATCCGTAACAATACAGGAATGCGGAACGAGCCGCACGTTTTGTAGGAGTGGTGTGCCATCCGCGATCGCGCAACTCCTACTTACATCTGGCTCTTGTAGGACAGCAGGCCAACAGCTGCTGCTGCTGCTGCTGCTAGTTGGGGGACCTTAGAAAAAAAGCACGCGAAAGTGGTCCCAATCCCGTGAAAAATTTCCAATTTCATCGGGTATAACGCGCGTGCCACACTTCATCATCACCTTGGAACGTCGGGCCCACAAGGACGGGGCGGAAAATGGCCATCTAAAGTCCACTTACACGCGATAAAACCCTGAAAAGAAAGCCTAACAAAGGGGAGAGAGAGAAAGAGAGAGGAGAATGAGAGAGATCTGCTACTGTCCTCTACACCTCCCATCCCTCCCGAGGTTTCGGGACACAAGAGACGGGGGTAAAACCCCCATAAATCGTCAATCATAAATGACGATATCAGGTGGTGTAGCGAATAGGAGGACTCGAAACAAAAAACGTCCACATCAAAAACTTCTAAAATATGCTTCCCGACTTCCCAGAAGCGGGGTTGGAAAGCGCGATAAAAATCCAAGAATCACCCCGAACGCCATGTCATAAAAAGGAGAAAGTAAAACGGTGGCAACCTTTCGGCCCCTTCAGCAAGTGATACAGTTTGCCAGGCATCACTTCCATTTTCTGGCAAATGTCGAACGGTCGCAGATGTTCCCAAAACGTATGATACCTCTTTAATAGCATCATCAACGAAGCTCTTTCTTCCCCATCGAACAGGAGAACCACATTGTCCACCCTGTCCATACGCTCCTTTTATATCCTCTTTATCTGGTCATGATTGTTCCTAAATTTTACTTAATGCTAAGCACTCCTGTCAGCGATTGACATCAGCCAGAAAGTAAGTCTTGATTTAGAAACTGTGGGACTAGATGGTTCATCCAACGCACTCATAAACTTCATACTACCCTTACACCATCTCTGGTGTGAGGTGGCTCTGAAAAATCACAGTGCTGCTTTCCCTGTCATTTATTACTCACTTCTACTTTCCCTTTTTATGTCTCGACCCCTCGTCCTCCTCCCCTGATACACGCTGTCACGTGCAGAAACTTTTTCGCTCCCCCCCCGCCTTCGCTCCCACTTCGTACGTGGCACCCCCCTCTACCTTCTTCTTCACTCCCACTTCAGACGTTGCCCCCGCATTAATATGCGTGCCGCGATTTTAATAGAGGAAATTGTGCGATATTAACATCGATATCGGCTCCGGCATTATTCTGGTAATAAAAATAGTAATAAAATGCGAATAATTTGTACATTTTGTACAAAATCAGTCGATTTTTTTTAGAAAAATCGAAGGGGTTAATCGACGGGTGTAAATTTTTATATAAATCTGAATAATTTTCGAGAAAGTAATTTTATTTCGCGACCTTTTTTTTTATTAACACCGATAACAATCGCTGCAGATAGGTTTTTATATACTGTAGACGAGCTATGTTAAGGTTTCGCCGTTTCTTGATCGATGGCAGATCTTATCGACGTATGTTTAATTCAGACTTTTCGGGACTTAAATAATTCTTAAGTGGGCTCGTTATCGATTTCTCCCTTTAATATTGCTAATATTTAGCCCTCTACGCATTAAAAAAGTCCCAAAATTCGTCCCGTTTGTGGGTTTAACGAGGATCGCGGAGTCGAGCTTTTTTTCCCCTTTGTGAATTCTAATTTTGATAAAAAAAAAAAGAAAATAAAGAAAAACTAATATAAAATAACAATATTTATAGAAAAGAATCGAGTAAATAAGCGGAACTTTTATTGTTTTTGGCCGGGGATAATACTATTTTAACTCCAAATGACATTTGCCAAAGCAACATGAGATGTTAGTCTTTGTCAAGTTTGACTTCTCCCCTTGACAAAAGAATAATTAATTATTAAGCTGAGTTTTCTTTACTATTTATAAGGCCTAAGACCTTCTATCAAGTTTCCGGCCTTATATTATTATTATTGTTTAATAAATGGGAATTTACTTCCCAGTAAAAGTGCTGTAGGAGTGTTTGAAGTGTAGTGTTTTTTTTACAAGGGAAATGCATGCTTTTATTTCTAATTTTCTCATATATTTTGGATTTTTTTTGGCAATTAGTGTGTGTAATTATCTAATTTGTTAGTAATAGAATAGCAGTATAAAATCAGCAACATGAAAATGGCAGTAGGTGTTACAGATCCTATTGTTGTTTTCTATAACTGTAACACTTAATGCGGCTTCTAATGCTGTTTTTCTATTAGGTTGTGGCTCTAACTTATATTTCCTGTACAATTGATCACCAAACTTATTATACGCTCCTCATATATGCTTTGTAGTGACTTTATAGTCTACAGTAGGCCTCTATTAAGTAAGCTATAGGAATTGTATTGATAAATTCTATATAAAATTATAGAAAAGAGCAAAAAATCATGGCGTTTTAAAGTGATTTATTAAGCTTTCTGTTAAGAATTAACGTGTTTTATGGGCACACGTCGTTGGCCTATGGCAAAAATGAATGAAAAATGGGAGCGTATACACGCGCCCTGTGTTAAAAAATAGAAAAATGTTAGTCTGTAAACATAGGTATTTTACAGAATGGCGTTTATACTGTCATTTCTAGAAGATCTGCACGTTCTGGGGCTTTCATAACTCCTCTAATACACTTCACAACACCTACAAATCCTGCAAAACACACAAACGACACCCCAATTGAGTAACTTTCTTAGTAAAAAATGAGACTAACCACTGTATTTTTAAGTTTCTACCGTTAAAGTTTCATAAATAACTTTAATTGAAGCTACTCCACCAGGCCTGTAGTGACTTTAATGATCGCTTCATAGACCCTACACAAGATTAATGAATGAAGACCCTATTGAAGCATGCTTAATGAAGACTACAGTAGACTTAATAGAGACATCTTCGCGCCTTTATCTAGAATTGTTTTTAAGTGTTTCAGCATGGCTGAGATCAGAAAGGGTGTACTAAAAAGCGAGTCCCCCCGTACCTGGCACCTGAAGCATTCCTGCTGTTCCTCATTTTTAATGCAGCGTACATATCAGCTTCTAACTTACTGAAAAATGAAACATTTCGTGCACGAAACACACTCGTGGCCCCTAATTATAGGGAGATTTGCTGCCATACGGGCATTTTTCTTATATAAAAACAACAGAGGGGGGTCGGTTTAAAATATTCAGTAGCTTGTAGTTTTCGTTTTAATATTTATGCAAATGAGCGGGAGGAGTTAATTAATCGCCCAAAAATTAGTTTTATGTCCGAAAACTTCGACTTTTTTAAGCCCATTTTTAAGGAGGAGACAATATAAAGAATAAAAACCTGGCATTTTAAGCCTTCCTGCTGCACTTCACCACTTTTTTAAGAGGGGGACAAGTTAAAAAGCTCAAATTTTAAGCCTCTCATCACAGCATTTCGTACATTTTTATGGGGGGAGACAAAGTAAAGTCTTTCAAACACACTTAACACGTGTAATAAGGTATATATATTATCCTGTAAAGTTGTGTTGAATGTTTAAACTAGAATTGGGATGGAGCCAATGGAGAAATTTAACAACTTTGGTACCGATCAAACATGGCGAGCGGGGAAGATATAGATCAAAAGCTGTACCTCTTCCTAGACAGGAACACATGCTGCTAGTTTGTTGTAGCAACTGACTGTTGTATGTTAAGACTTTTCACACGTTTTCGCCTCGGCTATTTTTATATAATCGGGCCATTTATTTTTTGACACAAACGTGGTAATTTGACGCCCCGTTTGTACCATTCGCCAACCGCCAGTTGACTCTATACATCACGACGATGACGTGTACCCTTGACTAATTATTCAGTCTAGGATCCACAGGAAAAACAGTCGTAAACGGGCTACCGAAAATACCCCGAATATTCCTTATTTTAGAATGATGGATTGCCTTCTGCTTCTGATACTTTCTTCCAGGGTGTGAATGAGTTTCGTAAGTATGTCGAATGTGGTATGGGTTGAGGGTGTTGATGCTGGATTATTACGAGCATCCCTAACGAGGTTCGTAGATGAGTGAGTTTTATATTCGATCTGACAACTTTAACACTTAATTTTTTTCTACTTTAACTTATTTTGTGACTGCGCTTTCTGAAACACTCAGTCTTACTTCGCTCCCCTTCATTTACTTTCTGTGTATATCTTAATAAAAGTAGCTGAGTAGGTATGTAAAGTGAGCTTTATTGTTTATAATTCTGCAGTAAATTGAGCTTTACTATTAGTAAATCTATAGTAGAATGGCTTTAATGTTAATTAACTATAGTAAAGTCTATAGTAAACTAAGCTTTAAAATTAATAAATGTATAGTAAACTAAGCTTTAAAGATAATAAATATACAGTAAATTAAGCTTTAATATTAATAAATATACAGTAAAGTGAGCTTTAAAGGTAATAAATATACAGTAAAGTAAGCTTTAATGTTGATGAATCTACAGTAAATGAGCTTTAATATTAATAAATATACAGTAAAGTAAGCTTTAATATTAATAAATATACAGTAAAGTAAGCTTTAATATTAATAAATATACAGTAAAGTAAGCTTTAATATCAATAAATATACAGTAAAGTAAGCTTTAATGTTGATGAATCTACAGTAAATAAGCTTTAATATTAATAAATATACAGTAAACTAAGCTTTAAAGGTAACAAATATACAGTAAAGTAAGCTTTAAAGGTAACAAATATACAGTAAAGTAAGTTTTAATATTAATAAATATACAGTAAATAAGCTTTAGTATTAACAAATATACAGTAAACTAAGCTTTTGTGTTGATAAATCGACAGTAAATGAGCTTTAATATTAATTTACAGTAAACTAAGCTTTCATGTTAATAAAACTACGCTAAAGTGAGCTTTCGCGTTAAATAGACTAAACTTTAATGCTAATAAATCGACACTCAAATGAGCTTTGTAAGTATGAAAACAATTAATTTGACTGTAAATTAATTACTATTACACTAACTAAGCTCATTTTATTTATTATTTTATTATATTGTGTCGTTATTTTCCTACACAAAAAAAAAGCTCTTCTTCCCTGTTTACAGGCATTGTTGTTAATTGTTTTCGTGTTAAAATCTCATTGTTATCTCTTATAAACCCACCAGAAACTATAACACCGCAGTCTACTGCTGTCGAAAATTACATAATTCATGCCCTCCGACACGTTTTCTCTAGTGTTTAACGTTTATTATATCGAAGTCCCACATCACCCCTCGAAAGGAAACGTTTTCAAGAAATCTCACAGTCATTGTGGTCCTCATTAAATTAAAATTTAACCCACCACTCGATTGGCCTTTGTATTATTAGGCGGAGGTCCGAAAATTCCTAGATGGGGCCTCTTAATCGTTAACGATTACAAACGACCCGAGACCTTCCACATCAGATAGCCTTAAAAAGCCGAAAAAAAGAAAGAAAACCTGTGTGAGAGGACACACGAGGTCTGTGAACTTGGAAACTTCTTCCTATTTATGCTTTGTAGACACTAGTTTAATTCGGGCACGACTAAATTTAAGACCCTCTAAGGCCCGACTAAGTAGGGTCTAAGCCATTGGAGTAATTGAGGATAGTTAAGAGGGGTAACCCAATAGGAGGACCGAAGGTTTATTTCTGTCTGGCTGTCATCGGTTGCTCAGTGACACTGTAAATTAAATGGTGGCAAAGGCTCCAACTACTCTTATATACATGACAGACATGTGTAGCTAACCGTGTTTACTCAGCGACTTTTCTGACATATGGCCTCATATCCCCGCCAGCAGAGGAGATGCTTATTATCAATAGTTGACTCAACCTTGTTAAGTTATTCGCCTACAAATAGGAGAGGGGGCGACTTTTTTTTTTTAAACGGCCTTTATACGGGATTATAATAAGAAGGGAATACGCTGCGTGTGACGTATTTCCGTAACACCCTCCCCCGTTTAATCAGTGGACGGTGTTTTTTAAAATCAAATTTCACGCTTCTAGAAGGAGGATTAGGGGTGGGGGATGGCCCGTTTTAGCGGTAGGATCCTAACAGTCTCTGATTTCGAGCGGTGTCTTTGCCTTCCGCACAGCTCTAAATTGAGTATTTTCCCGTAAAAGAGAAATATGTACAAGTCGACCCCCCTATAACACTGTTGATTATTCCGTTTTATATGAATTCCATATTGTACGAGTCACTTAGATTTTACAAATACGTGAGCCTTTCACGGCCCGGCACACGTATTTATAAAATTTAAGTGATTCATACAACATGGAATTCATATAAAACGGAATAATCAACAGTGTTATAGGGGGGGTCGACTGTTTTCACGTTGAGGTTTTTCACTTTTGGTTTAGATTTGGCACTTTAAATCACCTGGGAATTGTGAGGTTAAGATCCTGCGCTTTGATCCACGTATCGTGAGGTTAAGGATTTGCACGTTAATCCACGTGAGTGTCGCGAGGTTTTACGCATTAATACACACGAGTGTCGTGAGGTTAAGGCTCTGCACTTTATTCCACGTGAGAATTGTGAGGTTAAGGTTCTGCACTTTTAATCACGTGAGTATCGTGTGGTTTGCGCTTTGATCCACGCATCGTGAGGTTAAGGTTTGCGCTTTAATTCACGTGAGGCTCGTGAGGTTAAGGTTTTGCGCTTTAATTCACGTGAGGCTCGTGAGGTTAAAAAATATTCTCTCGCGTAAATTAAAGTGCAAAACCCTGACGTAATCTCCAGCAAATATCGAAATTTGGAAGATTATTCAGCATTTGTTTAATAATTGTTTTTTTAATATAATGGAAGCATTTTTCATGTGTCAAGACGTATAAAATTTCAAGCGATTCATTTCGTATTTCATAACGTTATTGAAGCCGTGAAGTTTGAAAAGGATAATTAATTTAACAAATCACATTCATCTCGTGTATGGGTCGTGTATATCGATATAAGTCATTGGTCCACTTATCTGGTGAACAGAAGCGTAATTATCGAATTTCGTACGAAATTGTACGATTATAATTGAGCTTAATGATCAGGAAGGTCCTTGAATATTTTTAGTTTTACCTTGAATTGAAACATGACAAGGAGAAACTCGAAATTTCGAGTTTCTCCTTGTCATGTTTCAAACACGCACGATTTTTCTTTTAAAAAAACAGTAAAAGAAACCTCTCCTACGTCACAAAAGTTTATATTATTACGTGTAAAGAAGCATTATGACGTGGGAACAAGTACTCCACTAATTAATCTAATTCGTTAAACCAATTAAAAGCCTTGTTATACCGGATGAAAATGCAAAAATTACACGTTAATTTTACATAAATTAAGATAGAATCCACTGAAAAATTACGCGAAAAAGTCAAAAAAATTCATTAAAAAATAAAAAAAGAAGCCTACAACTGGCGCCATCTACCGCGAATCGTTTCAAACCCAAAGTTATTCATTATAGAAAAATGTGGGATTAAACAGAGAAAATACTCGACTTTACGAAATTTACCTGTGTAATTAGTAGGGTAATTGTTTTTAATTATATAATAACCGATTAATATTAGAAAGTTTAAAAGATTTTAGCCCAAAACTGATGCCGGAGGAAGGTCACACCTCACATCGTCGTGTCAGTTTTGAATTAAGAATAAGCTGTGAAGCTGACGTGAATAATTCGCCGTTTGGAAGTTGAGAGGTGAGTTGGGGGGCGCTCGCGGGGGTCTGCCGCGTGGGTGGGGCGCTTAATAAGCGCGAGCGGTGCGAACGCGAGGGGGGTTGGGAAGCGCGACACTCGTACGAGAGACCATGCTAATTTGTGGCGTAACACAAAATATGATAGGCAGAGGAGGCGGGGCGTCCATATGACGTCTCGCACGCCTGCTATGAATTAATGTGATTGGCTCAGCGTGTTGTCACCTCGGCGCTTGTTCGCTGACTATGTTAGTGCCAGTTGGCAGTATTGCAGTGTCGAGGTCGATGGAGGGGAGAAGATTTTCGTGTCCGATTTAACAATGGCATGTTCTCAGTATGACTACCAAACGCCCCCACAGGTAAGTATCTCTTTTATAAAAGTCGTTTGCTTTTAAGTTAAGTTGTAACTCTTTGAATTCGTTAGCGTGTAAACGGATTTCCGCTCCGTCTATCTCCTACGATCTGTTTTAATTGTATTGTACACAAACACACCAGGTATTTTATGTACAGTACGTCTTCTTTCTTTCTCCTATTTAAACGTGTTAAACATCAAACCGAGCGCCTCCCTTCTACTTGAAAATCTTGCCTATTTACATGCATAATTTACTCTCAAGTAGTTTGCTGTATTTAATTACAGGCAGACATATTTACGAACATATTACATCCGTCAAGCTGGAATTGCAAGACTGTTTTGTTCATTGATTAACTTTATACTAATGTTCAATATTTGTTCAGCAGCATAAATTCTTTGTGTTTAACACTGCAGTAACCTTGTTTTATGTATCGAAACACAAGCCTTAACACTAGGTATGTATGTGGCTTATTACACTAGACATTGTTAGTCTTTATTGATTGTTCAGGCGTTAAATCAATTACGTATAAGTCGTAATTGGGAGGCATTATTGTGTTTATTCGAAAACAATTGAATTTTTTAAAAAATTTCCATACAAAACACAAAACACCAGAGCTGCACCTTTTAATTGTAATCGTTTTCTACATAAAAACCCGATCGGCACGCACGCACCAGTTAAAATTTTCGTTTACTTTAAGCGATTCTACAGTTGTATAACTTGAAAATTATCCAAGATGGCGCAGGTTTTTACGAGAAACGCATTTAGTTCGAGTGTTATTTTTGAAAAATAAACAATTTTACACACTCTTAAAGAGTTTAGGCCGCGAATTGGGGGGTGTCGGATTGCGTTTTACACGTTTTAAAATCCTCGTATCGATCGCTTGGCGTGGAGAATGTAAATTTAGCTCATACTTCCGAGAAGACGCCCCTTTATGTAAAAAAGGCCTTGATGTAAAATGCCACCGGATTGGTGGCACGCGAAAGAAATTCTCTGACTCACGAATATCATTTATGGAAATTTAAAAAAATTAAAACAAAAAAAATGGTAGACGGCGCTAGGTAACAAGCATTTCTCCCAGTGCGGTGGCGCTAACTGTACTTGACATTGATTATATTAATGATAATATAATCGATGTAGCAAAAAAATTCCTTTTGGGTTTTTTTTATGGTTCCTTCGCTCGCTCCTGCCGAATAAAAAATGATAATTGAGTTGCTCCTTGAAATTATACATAATTTAAAATTACTTTTTTACGTACGCATTATCTGTCGGCGCTACTTTAAACTTGTTCTGTTTTTTTTGCTGTGTAGTTGGTGATGTCAGGAGGCCAACCTCCTATCTTACCTTCCCATTTTTGTGATAACGGAAGATCAGGCCTTACCGAATCCGTCCAGGGACCCACTTGCACGTGCCATTGCGATCTTTACCATCAATGGATGCCTACACCGATTAATTTTTATAATGGCTCCTTGTATCCCTCGGAGCCCTATCTCTCGCAGGAGCAGCCCTTGTATTCGGTAAGTGTATCTTTATATGCTTTATTTGTTATTTCCCTTCCTTCATGCCTTACCAGAGTTGGTTAGTGGGGAATTTTCCTCTGACCCGGAGAGACTGTAGGGCCTCGTGGTGATTTCGACACCCTGCGTTTTATTTAATAAACATTCTATCTATTTAATTTGTACGTGAAAAGGGTGAAGGGCCCTCTGTACACCGAGCCTTATACCAAGATTTCAACGACTCTGTGTTGCTTCGGGTTTAACTGGACATTCTTAAACACGCGATATTTTGTTTTTTTTTCATGAAATTCTTGAAAATTTCGCGAGATTTCTTTTAGATTCTAGTCTTCTAGCCCTTTTCGTAAGCTAAGTTATAGATTAGTTACGTAAATTATTTTGAAAATGGCCATCTCCGAGTCGAAGTGGGAATTGGAGATCTTCAAGAATTTCAATTTCTAAGCTTGAAATTCACGAAATTTACTTTGAAATTCGAGAAAATAGCACGATTACACGGTTGTTTTCTAGTTACTCTAGAAGATCTGCAGCTCTAGAATAAGATAAATTAGCTTAAAAGTGTCATATACATCAAAATTACTGGAATATAAACTCAGGAAGCGAACTTCAAGTTCACTACGAATAAAAAAAAAAATCCTGATACTCCGCTGGGAACAGGGGTGTTTTTACAGACTAAAGGATTGCAAATGGCCGATTTTGAAAAGGGTCCAACTGGCAGCAATGGCTCTAAATAATTCTGAAGGGAGGAAATGTCTGCTGACGACATTTTACGATCGCTACTGTAAATACCCGTGAAGTATAAAGTACAAAACTTGAAGAATTCGAGAAGAGGAACTGCGCCACGACAGTTGTTACTCAAATAACTAACTAAAATTATCCAAAGAGGCCTCTTAAACATCGAAGACATCTATTTTATCTTTTTGAACTGACGTTTTGTTTGTGCGTAACACTTCCAAGGCGTTTATTGCTCGCAGTAGCAATGCCTTGAATTTCTTCTTTATTCTTTACTGTGGGAATAAAATATTTAACAATTAAAAAGTTTTAATTAACTGAGATTAGAAGGCTTTAGAGGGCCCTACTTTCGATTTTTAACTACAGCAATTTTAGGTATCCTTTTAAATGGTGGCGCATACCACGATTTTATAATCCGTTACGAAGACAAAGTTCTTTGTTCTTTTATTGTAACGTTTTGTCTGAAGATATTTCAAGTATTTATTGTATTATCGCTTCGTTAGCTCGTAAAGTTTATTTATTTTACATTAAAAATACTGTAAAATCGTAAATTTTACTGCAAAATTGAATACAGTTACCATTAATATCGAGCTTTGTGGGGTGCTGCTTACAGGCTGAAGTACAGTACCTTGTAGAACTGAAACTCCTGTAGGAAATTTCTTGAAATTTTTACAGTTTCTCTCCAATTATGTAACTAACAGATTTACAGTATAATATACTGTAAATAATACTAATTTTCTTGGTTTTTTTACACGTTTAAACAGGATATTTAACTTATCTCTCGAAAGTGTTGGAGATTGGCACTCTTCAAGTGCTCTTACAATATATTTTTCTGAATAATACTGTAAATTATTGTATAATTTCCTCTTCTGATATAATACTTTACAGGTTTCTACAAGCATTTTGTGTATATTGAAGGTTGGGTGTAAAATATCGCATTGTTTATTGTTTAAAATGGGTACAGTTAATATGGCCTTCATAGAGATGTATGAAGAATTATAGCTCCTTGTAGATAAAATCTACAACAGTAAAAACATTAAAACACTTTAAAATATTGTAAAATATCCGTAGGCCTTTTTATAGAAGAGTGTTATGAGGCTTCTGTTCAGATTCCTGAAGCTCCTGCTTCTAAAATTGGATTGTAGAAGCAGGAGCTTCAGAAATCTAAATTTCGTTTGCAGATTTCACAAGTAAATTAAGATTTTTAATGTACCAAGTGTATTATTTAGGCTCTAATTGCCAATTTAATTGTAATTAGGTAAAAATAATTCGTAAATTAATTTAATGCCGCTTAGCTCTTAGGCCTATGAGCTATATTCATTAGCATGTGTTATGGTATGATTTCACCTCGTTGAGAGAGTCAAACCTTGTGAAATATAATAAATTAGGGCATTTTTAGCCTTAAAAAATGTTATTTTCGTTGTAGATTTGGGATTATTTTCTACAGTTTATCCCATAGAATTAAATTACAAAGCGGTTTTGTGCTGTGGCAAGTGGCTCTTAGCACCGATCCTCCTGAAGATTCCACTCGGTGTTGGGTCCTCCTAAGAGAAATTTAAGCACCTCCTCGCCTAAACTCGCATAAATTTGGATATTTTATTATGCCTTTTAGGTCGGTAAGACAAAGAACGAAATCAACATTAAGCGGTTGGCGTGTAACTTCAGAAAAAACAGGAGTTCAACATGGAGGAAATCAATAAAACCTTCATTGATTCTCCAATTGGAGATATGAAATCCTAGAATCAATAGTAAAAACCTCATTTTAAAGCCCTCTTATCTAAGATTTGATACGAGTGACGATCTCAAGTTACCATTCGATACGAAATTAAGTCTTGTAGAAGCCCCCGGGAGCCGAATTATATGATTTTTGTCGTATTATTCAAATAAAAATGCCCTCATAAAGGCGAAATTCGACTCAGAGTAGGAAAAGTTATGGGGGCTTTAAGAGCCCATAAGAAAGATTATGAGATATAGAAGTAATGAGGCTAATTACTCCCTCAGAGCATTAGGGAGAGGTCATAAAGAGTAGTGACGTCTGAGGACCACTATCCGGAAAAAAAGAAAGGCAGCTTGCAGGCCGAACAAAGCCAGCAACAATGGCCAGTAACAGGATACAGAAGGGTGAAGAAGAGATACACTTCATGCTAATTGCGAAGCTTACCCTTCCTCTTCTTCTTCTTCTTCCCTCCCTTGCTTTTTTAAAGAAGTTAAACATCGAATTAATAACTGTCATACTTCTGTAGTAACAACTGCCCACTTCCTGTCATAATCGCGAATAAATAATCAGGTCACGTCCGAACGGGCAGACATATTGACGCATCTCTTACTTCCACAGTGAATGGAAAAAACGTCCTTGCTAATTAAGTTACATCGATCTGAAAGGGGGGAGACAAACCTGTGTATTTTTCTGTATGTAATAATATAAATGAAAGTAATTATTTGTCTTACAAAAAGGCTACATTACGTTAATAACTAAAACCTTTTTTTAAATCTGATTCGGTTGCGTAAGTGGCGCTTTTTTTCCGATAACCAGATGGAAATCTTAATTATCTAGCGCTGTAAACGGGTTTAATTTAAGTAAACAACTCGTGATAGCCTTAACTATGCCGTATTACTAGCCTACTCTTCTCAATGGGATGCTTTGTTACGTTGCAGCATACACACAAGAAGACTGTTCTGCACAGTTGCATGGCTACATCAATGCCTTGTGTGGCATGGTTTTAATGAGCCTTTCTTATTGTGAGCCTTTACAGTTTTTCTCTAGGCTTGAAAAAATAGTTGTGTAAGGCATATAACAACTAGTTTAAGAAGTTGTGTGTGCCTTAATTTATAGGATCATTCGAATCAATAGGTAGGAATACGTGATTTAAGCCTTTCAAGTAGTCTTATTAAGGTTTAATTTAACTTTTACGGCTTGAAATTTTAGAATCTACACAGGCCTAAATCCTTAAATAAGCTATTATTATAATTAAGGCTTCCTCTAGCTTAATTATGTAATAAATAGTAAATTGTGAGCCTAAATGAGCGATGAAAGGCTTACAGTAGGCTGAAAGTTTGTACAGAAATTAAATAATACGAAGATTTATGTGTTATAATCCTTAATTACTATAGCAGCTTGAAGGCTTGTAGGCCTACGTAGGCTCTATACAAATCTAGTTGAGAAGCTTCGCTTTAAGCCTCATAAGTAGGAGGTAAACTACTATTAAAAGGTTATTAATGATGATTCTTACTTTGAACCACGAGACAGGATTAAAGTTTGTAAATTATCAAAAACTTCTATAAAAAGTAGTGGAAAATTTCAGCCTTATTCGTTTTTAAGGTTGACTCGTGAGCCTTCTCGTATAAAGCCTTATATTAATAACCTGTACACAGGAAACTAGTATAAGTTTCTAACCAGGAACCCATTATATAGTTAAAATATTTGATTGTGTATCTTATAAACATATTAAAGGCTTATAGTAGCCTTAAATTTTATGCAAATGTGAGCCATCTCACAATTACATAAAAGACCAGTACTGAAACTCTCCACGTAGACACCTATCACATAATTAAAATCCGTGTAAATCTCTTACTAGCCTAATTCCTTCTAAAATTAGCCTTAATTAATAATAAAAGCCTGTTTTCAGCCAATAAACAACATAAATTGCCTCAGCGGGTCTAAAGTGGGAGCTTAAATTGAGCTGAGTAATTCACTAAGGAGATAAAGGAGGGCTTCTTAGCGTGGAGGAGCCATTCCTTTGGCTTCTTAACATTGACAAAATGCCTTTTTTTAGGGGTGGGAATTAGCCGAAAAAACAAAGGAAAATAAGCAAATCACACGCCATAATCATCCTGCAGAAGACACATCCTTAATTGGGCAAAAGTAAAGAGCTCCTGGGATGCTTAACAAATTAGTTGAGGAACAGGCGAATAAGAAATTGTAGAAGTGGATGTTCTCTCCTTCTAAAGAGCCCTTGAACACGTTAAAGGTCTTGTAAGAGCCCTTGAAGCGATATCTACTCACTTAAAGGTTTCATTAGTCCCGCTCTTTGTTAAGCTGCAGAATCGATTTACTGTTAACTTCGATGGAGCTCGACCCTCCCCCCAGCGATCGATGATGCTTCACTTCTTCTCTTCTTGATTGTTTACTCTCCTCGCACGCGATAACACTAGATGCCCTTCTATCCTGTGATTAACTTTAAGGCATCATTTATATTTCGTTAAACAGAGGTCAGGATTGTTTCCATTCTTACGTTACTGCGGTTTCTGTAAGACGTACACCAACGGTACCTTGGCTTCTCCTCTTCTTATCTCGCTATATAGAGGTTCGATTTTGGCGTTATTTCGAATATATTCGTGTGTTTTACGCCTTTATCTTTTAATTCTTTTGATTTTATATTATTATTATTATGTTTTCTGAAGCCGCATGCAGCGATGGCATTAAGGCCCCATTTTATTCAAAAATTCGCTATATAGGGGTTTAATTTCGATATTTTCTGTTTCTAGATTTATTTTTGCACCCTTACCGAATTTTTTTTACTTTAAAAATCACATTAAACTTGTTTTTTTGGGGGGGAATCACTATATAGAGGTTTATCTTCGATGCTATATTGAGTACTTTAAACAGTTTCTCTGGCATTTATCTTTAATTTTTTTTATTTGTAATCTTATAAGTGATACTAGAGGTACAAAAACTTCGCTCCTGTTTTGCAACTGTTCATTATATAGAGGTTATTTCCGAGCTTTAAGAACGTTATATAAAGGTTACTGTAACTTAATCTTTACACGTTAAGTATATCGATTCTTCATCTTATAAGCCATACAAAGAATACGTGATGATTCTATCTATGTTTTTAACTATGAAAATTCGCTATATAGGGGTTTATTCTCGATGTATTAATCATTTTAAAGTAACGATTCTTCACTTTATAAATCTGTATCGCGATCAACTCCCGTGCTCATTATGTGTTTTTTTTTTTCTTATTTTTGGAAGAATTCGCTATATCGAGGTACGTTACTGATGCTATTTTAAATATTTTAACTCTCTCCGTGTGAAATTTTCATAAAATAGAGTAATTTTATAAGTTATTTCTTCCATTTTCTGACGTTCTTCGCTGCGGAATAACGCTATACAGGGGTGACTTTTTCGATGTTTTAGGAATCTAACGTCTTCGTAAACGGTTTTACGAGGTTTTCTAAACGACAAATATCGTTAATATCGTGAAATTTATGAATTTTTCAAGCGCTGCTCCATCAAAAAGCCACCCTTTTAATGATGTTTTCAGAGGATTTTTTTCGGAGGAAAGTCCGCTGAATGTCAATATTTTAAGGATTATTTTAGGGTATTTCTCTGTTTATGGTTTTCTAAATTTAGATGCCATTGTAGTCTTTTTAGATACACAAAGATTTTTAGATTTACGACAGGATAATCCTCGTAATAAGCTTTCAAAGCTTAGTCTAAATATTTAATTTTTTTTAATATTTATAGTTTACTAAATATAAGATGTTTGAAGATGCGCTTTATGCGGGTTTTTCTGGAAGATAGTTTTAAAATATTCACTATTTAGAGGTTTAAGAGACGTTTTATTTACGAATATTTAACAGGTTTCCTTTGTAATAAGCGTTAATATTTTGTGGGCAATTTCAGCTCATTCTCTAAGATTTTCGTTATTTCGAGGTAGAATTTTAGAGAAGTTTTGGCCCTGTTTACGCCCAATTCTTGTAAATTTCATTTTTAGGGGGGTGCGGAAATGGGGAATTTCGCAGGAGATAAGTTGGAAGGTTATTTCTCAAGGGGGTGCTTTATCGCGATTATGGGCAATTTCTAAGAAAATTTCGGCAGTCACGTGACGCGCCGTGGGTCCATCTGCATCTTGTCACACTCACACCAGAATTTCTTCTCATTCCTTTAGGGTGTTGCCGCCAAGGAAAGCCAAGAGGGTTGGAGGAGCCTGTGCTGCCCGATCTACACCCCATACGATCCAACGGGGGTGGCGTACCCTTTCGTCACGGGGTAAGTAAACACGCGTGACATTTGACCTATCGTCACCTGGCGCGCCGTATGGACTCGCGGACGCGTTCGGCTGGGGGAGGAGGACGGAATGACGAATGTGCGGGGACGTGGAGAAGCGATGACAGCGCGCGCGGACAATCGCACAATCGCCTGCGAGGGCCGCAGTTGACAGCAGAAATTGATTTGGAGGTTGGTGAATGGTATAGGGGCAGCTGCACCCGGGGTCACACCCAACCCACAAAGGGGAGAACGTGGAGTCAACTTCCATTCTTCCCGCGTGATTGTTCGCCTAGCAGCATTGGTTTTTGTCAATTGATATAAAGGAAGTGTTTGCCTCCCCCGATTGTGGGTGTATGCCCCGATATTACGCCCCCCTCTTTACTGTAAGTGTCACACGCGCTTTCTTTCCCTAATATCCTCCCCTTCGTCTCCAAATTTAAGTGGCTCCTCGACCTTATTTTATTACCGTTTGGATAAACTATGTGTGTATTTTTAGGCCCACGTCATAGGCCCTTTAATACTCTCTCAGAAAATTGTCACTCTCGTAAGAAGAAATTAAGTTTTGCCCCGTTATAGCGACGATAAAGCGCCAGAAAACAGAAGAATTTTCCGCCATATAGGGTTCGTGGATTGGTTTGTAGTGAATTATGTAAATTAGATCCAGTATTTACGGGTGCATTGGCATGTGAACGCCCTTTGATAAGCTGCTAATGCTAATAGAGTATGAAAATACAAGCTAAATTGTTCATATTTTTGGATTTAGAGCACATCTTTAGAACCCGTTAGACTTTGGGGTGCTGCTAGAGAAACAAAAGGTATGATTTTAAGCCCACTTTACACACACAAACTATGTCAGGATGCTGCTACACGATGACTGAAGCTCACGTTAGACACACGTAAACTATGCCAGAAGGGTGCTGCAGAAGCAAAAATCACACAACATCAATTAGCACGTAGTTTTTTTTTAGCATGCAGCACCCCTTTTAGCACGATTTAAAGTTAAAAAAAAAAAATTATACCACTGCAGCTACAACATGGACTTGAACGTGGCCAGAAGGAAGAATGCTACCAGAGAAACAACCAGCACCTTGAAGGCCTGGTTGAACGAGCACAGGAAGAACCCTTACCCCACCAAAGGGGAGAAGATCATGCTGGCCATCATCACCAAAATGACGTTGACGCAGGTGTCCACGTGGTTTGCCAATGCCAGAAGGAGGCTGAAGAAGGAGAACAAGATGACGTGGGAACCGCGTAGCAGATGCGAAGATGATGATGACGATAAGGAATGCCACTCCGAGGATGAAGGTAAGGGAAGAATTCTTTTACCTTTAGCTTTGCAGGATGTCTGTCCGTCACGTTTAAGAGTTAATAAGTTTTTTTTATTCCGTGAAAAATTAGTTTCTTAATTAGTCTCTTGTGATTCGAGTGAAACTATCTTCCTCTTTATCTAGATTATTATTTTTTTTTTATTATTAATTGATACATTCACGCCTTGTAGAATGTAGTCATTATCCTGTTTTTATGGTGGTTCCTTTGGCATGCCTGGTTCAATAGCTTTACGTTTACTCTTATTATTAGGATGCTATTGTATCCTGTGTAGACAATATCTGCACAGGATACGAAGGATCACTAGACTGTACGAAAGAGACAAAGGAGCACTAAAGTGTGTCGTAAGGTACACAGGAGCACTAGAAAGTCTCGTAAGATATAAAAGAGCAGTAGAGTTTGCGTAAGGTACACAGGAGCAGTAGAGTGTGCCATAAGGTACAAAGGAGCACTAGAAAGTACCATAAGATATAAAAGAGCAGTAGACTGTGCTTCTTTGCATTTTAGAATACAATACCATCTTTATAATAGGAGTGCATTGGTATATAAAAGATGGGATTTCACGTGATTCTATTGAACTAAGGAGGCACCAAAACAGGATAGCGACGACGTAGACATCTACAAAGGATACAAAGCATTAACTTTCACGTACAAAAGTGCCGAAATGCTCCTTTTTTCAAGGATACAACGCTTACAATGCAGGATACGAACGTAATTTGTACATAGGTTAGGTTCAGAACTTTATATTCAGGACTTTCGTGATGCTGTCAGCACCTTTCTGATGACGCAACTGATCAGGAAAATGCTCACGTTTTGCTTGCAGCATCACTATAACTTACAGCTTTCAGGGTTATTCAGGATAGGTTGGGAGGAGCAGTTGTATTCCTGGACAATTTACGACAACACACAGGATAGAATTGCGAATTCCTAAGAAATAAGATCCTAGGATTGGTTACGGTTTGCATCCTCGTTGTTCGGAGAAAATACAATTTATATCGGACTAGGGCACGTTAGCATGTCTGTCAGTATTGTTGAATTTTTACTAGAATAGTTGTACAAAAGTAGGATTCAGATACTAGGATTTTTAATATGCCAGAGCATAATTAATAGAAATATTTTACATACGGGAGCAGGTGGCGCTTTTATTTCAGGATACAATTGCCTTAACAATCGGTATGAATGTTATTTTCTAGGATACAAATACAGCTGTAATCCTAGGATACAAACACCTGTATACTCACTAATCCTAGAAGATAAGAGCAACCTTAACGGCTGGCTAAGAATATTCTTTTAGTTAATCCTAGGAATCAAGTGTAGCCTTAATTATAGATACAAATGTATTTGTAGTTTGATTATAAGAGGAAAGTTTAGCCTTCTTAAGGAGGGACAGCCTTAATTTCTGTATAGAGAACAACTAATTCTAGAAGAAGCAGATGTTTTATCTTCAGGCACAAACGCCTGGATGGTAAACTTTCAGGATCGAACAGTCGTTAGGTACTTAATACAAGCTATTATTTCAGGATACACCCAATACAGACAATCAGGATAGGCTTTTAAGTCGGGATAAGTAATATTCGCCTGACTCACTCGCCATTTTTTCTGATTTAAAGGAGAAGAAGAGAAGAAGGAAGAGCAAGAAAGCAAACGATCCTGCTCCAGTTTGTCAACAGAAGAGGGCCATTCGAGCCACCAAACAGACAGCAAGGTGCCCACGAAACCGCGAATTTGGTCGATCGTCGACATGGCCACCTCGGACCACCACAGCAGCAAGACCAAACCCAGTGCCTGGTGTCACGTGACAGCGAACTCGAACCCGCCGACAGGCAGTGATTCATTAAACAGATTGAGGACAGCCGCCACGAATTACGATCCCTCTAGTGCCGGAAATTTGAAAGTTCCTAAACAGGACACGTCCTGAAAAACTGCAGGCCTCCATCCCCCTTCTGCACTTTGTGTATGTGTGTGTGTGTGTGCGTGTGTATATATATATATATAAATATATATATATAAAATCCGGTTTTGTGGAGGAAAACGGACATATATAAAAAAAAAACTTGTATAAGAAACTTATATAGAATTCTTGGTCGTGCTGCACAGGTGAGTTGAGACAATAAACAGGTATTCTCTCATATATATGTGTGAGGTGTGCGTTCTTTCTACTTATAAAAACATGCACACTTGCCGGGTATGCTGCGTATATTGCGCACCTCCTGTAACTTGTTAATTGCGGTACGTTGGCATGACACCTTGACAATTAACAAGAGGACAGACACCTCGACAATCTCGAGGTGTCTGTCTGCATGTTAATTATGCCTCTCCTCGCACTAATGCATCGTGGGGTATCCCCTCTTCAGTCTGGTTTTCATATTTTCGTAAGAAACACAAGTGTGGTGTGTCAGAACGTGACCTCATCACCCTTCGATTTCTGTTTCAAGTAAGACTTCTTCCCCCCTCCCCCTTTAGGAGGGCTTTGCTCTCGGTTTCAGAGCCTCTTCGTTGTTTTCAGATAGCGTTTTCGGGCCCCCCAGTCGAAGAAAGTTAATCATCTCTTGAGCTGGAGACTGTGTAAATGCAACTAACTGGACCCTCACCCCCGAAAAAACTGGAATTAGATGGCATAGCTTACATTTTTTTCAAAAGGGCATAGCTTAATCTTACATTCTGAGGTCCTACAAAACATTTCTGTACATTCAGAGGGGCCTTCAAGGCGTTCAAACAACGGAACTCTTATTTCATTTAAAGCTGCTTTAAGACGAATAGAAGACTTAGAACCGGTATCTTTTCAGCACTTTTATTAGGCGAAGGGGTGTCAAAAATTAATTTTAAGGCCCGGAAGTCGGGTTTAATAGGAGAAGGAGCTCTCGTATTGTAATTCATAGATCAAATTGGGATAATATTAGATGAGTAGTGTCTGACTTTCTCCCTTCTAAACGAATGCACATGACTTACAGAACATCTTCGTATATTTAAACAGGCCTTTAGGGCCTTCAATTTTTCTAAGGCCTTCAAATAGGGCATTCGAAGCACTCAGAACTTTTCTTTCATTTGAAGGGATGTCAAACAGATAGGAGACGTAAGTACAACGAAGAGAACACTTGAATCTATCAGGCAAAAGATATTAGAAATTAATTTTAAGGCCCGGAAGTTAGGGTTTAATAGGAGAAGAAGCCCTCGTATTGTGATTCATAGATCAAATTGGGATAATATTAGACAGAAGATGGATGGGTGGTGTGTTAGATGAATGCGTGTGGTGGGTGGAGACTTTGCATTGGAAGCGATCATCTATTCTCTCAGATGAGAAACTGTCAGGGGAAGATATAAATAGTGGGCTTGTTTCCCAATTGACACCTACTCGTCATCTATCTAACTGCATACACTACTAACCGAACAATTAATATTGGCTACCCCACTTTCTGCCTGCTTCATTAACCTTTAAAATATGAGTAAAGGCCTTATATGTGACGCTAAGCGTTGGGCATTTTTCTCATTTGTGTGAATTCTGGGCTGGTTGATTCTCCTGAGAGAACTCTCACCTTTGTTCCTTATTAATAGGCCTTTAGTTCTTGTTAGGGAGGGGTGTGTAACGCTTCTCACGTGATAAATTCTAGCACAATTCATCACGGCTTTAACTGGTTTTAATATAAGTTAAAGGCTAATAAATGGCTTTCGATAGCGTTGATAAGAGCCTTCAGTAAGGCAGTGTTTTGAGCCGTTTTTTGTTCTTTATTAATAGGCCTTTTCTTCTTGTTAGGGGATGGGTAATGAGGTTTTAATAAAGTTAAAGGCTAGTTTCTAATAGAAAGTCTTATAAAAACTATAAACATAAAGACTAAGTACATCAAGGAAAAGGCTCGGCCGTGTATTTTCAAACCACTTAGGCTGTTAGTGGTAGATGTAAAAAGGTTAGTTTTGTATAAAACAGGCGTGAAAGCCTTGGAATTTTACAAGAACTAAGCCTTAAGGCTTGGTTTATAACAGAAAGGCTTTCAAAAGTAAAACCAGAAAGACTTGCAGCAGTAAGAGAAAGGTTGGTTGATTAGAAAATCTTTTATAGTAAGTGATAAGGGTGAAGATTTATAAAATAAGGCTTGTAGAAGGGTCAAAAAGCCTTTGAAACATGTACATTTTTCTTATGTTTTTGACAATTTAATGCCGATATACTCTTATGGTTTGGTTTTTAATAGAAATAGTTTTATAAGGCTAAATTATAAAGGCTAATAACATTAAGAAAAATGTTCGACCGTGTATACTCAAATCACTTATGCTATTAGTTACAGAAGAAAAGGCTAGTTTTGTAGAAGACACGCTCGAAATCCTAAAGGCGTGGAATTTTTCGATGGCAGAGTCTTAAGGCTCGCAAAACTAAAAAAAGAAAGGCTTGCAACAGTAAGAAAAAGGCTGATAGAGCTTCGTTAGAAAGTCTTTATAGTGAGTGATAAGACGGGGTTTAAGGCATACGCAGGGAGTCAGGAAGCCTTTAAAACGTGTAAATTTCCCACTACTTTTTAACAATTTAATGCCGATGTACTCTTAAGGCTTGGTTTCTAATAGAAAACCCTATAATACTGTAAATTTAAAGGCAAATGACACCAAGAAAAAGGCTCGTTTATACTCGAACCACTTAGGCACTTAGTTATAGAAAAAAAGGCTAGTTTTTCAGAAGACACGTTCGAAAGCCTGAACGTGTGGAATTTCACGATGGCACAGCCTTTCAAAAACAAAGGCTCATAGCAGTAAGAAAAAGGCTGATAGAGCTTCGTTAGAAAGTCTTTATAGTAAGAGGTGTTGTAAGGCCTACATAGGGGAGTGAGAAAGCCTTTTGAAACGTAAATTTCGCCCTCTATTTTTAACAATTTAATGCCGATATACCCTTTGGCGTTTACAACTTGATCGATTTTCTATTTTAAATTTCATCACGTATTCCAAACACGTCGGGGTGATGCTTCAACGAATATGCTTCTCCCTTCCCTCACGTTTTTGCATTAGAGCATTCATCTATTATCTTCCTCGTTACCAATTGGTACATTAAAGATTAAAGACCCACTGAAAACACTTGATAATCACTTTCTTATCGATTTATAAACGCTAAAAAATCCTCCTGTCCGAATGTCTGTACTAAAGGATGGTCGATAGGACACTAAAATATGCCCCCCTCGCCCCTCTGATGAAGTAACTCAATCTTTCGTGGCTTCTGCCATCTGTTTTGTGGTATCCTTTCACCCCCCTTGTGAGGTCGATGCGATGACATGTGATGTCTAATGTTACTGTATAAGTTTGTTTAATAGTTAAGTAGCCTATTATGCTTCTATACGCCATCCGAAACCGCATATCTTCCTATTATGTGGTCTCGTCGGCGGATGGACAGAGGCCCCTGTGAAAAACACCACGTGTTAGTGTTAGTTTCCAGCTTCCTATCTGATAGCCTGAGAGACTAAAATCCAGTCCGGAAAAGCCACGCTTCTTACAATTTTATGCCCCTTCGAAGGCCCTAAAAAGATTGAAATGTCGTCTTTTCTGTCGGCACTTATGAGGCCGTATAAGACGAGGAGCCATTCTAGCATGGATTATCGATGAAGGGGGTCTAAATTTAACTGCAGAATCGAAAATAGAAGGCCCCCGAGGCAGAAATATCCCTATTTTGAGAGTATTTCTGTAATCGGTAACCATTGAAGGAAAACTAATCAATCAAAGTGGGATACCAAAGTAGGAGCAGGCACCAAGAAGGAAAAACGAAGAGTGCAATGAAGCCTTATATTAATTTATAATCCTGGCCTCTTCCGGTTGACAAAAACGACAGTCGAGGGTTGATTTTAAACAGGACTTTTTGTCAAACTCTTAATCTTCTCCTCGGTTGTCAACTCATAACTCCCATTAGGGAATTTCAGGGGGCCTGGAGACGATACACTGCGTTAGAACATCCTTGTTTGTTTAAGGACATCTGAGGCATTTTCAATGTCTCCTTTAGCTGCAACAGGCATGAAAGGTTCTGGTTGAAGAGCCTTTCTATGCCAAGAACCACCCAATATTGGCAAATCTACATTAGTTATAGGCCTACTTGGTAATGTAAGGCATAAAATCTATCCTCTAACAATTAGGGCGCCTGTGATTTACTTTTTATAATATATAATTCACAAGTAATTTTAGGCATTCCGTAATTAGTAGGCATAGTTACTTAGGGCCTATGCGCTCTAAATAAACTAATGCCAGATAGGTCCATATAGCACCTCTCCTGACATCCGGAACCAAGAAATAAACGTGCGAAGGGCCTTATTTAGTATTCATCACATCTATATCTGAAAGGGGCCTTTTGATTAAGACAAAAATCTCTAATATTCTACATTATTATAACATTGAAGATGAGGGTTTCAGATACACAAAATGTAACTATAAGTAGGCCCTCCTGCCAACCCCTTAAACAATATTTAGGGGGTCTAAATATGTCTTCCTGTATAAGCGTTAGAGATATTCATTTTTTGGCAGATGTCCTTGGAACATCTGCCCTCATAAGAGCAATCATCGACTGGTTTTTTTTTAGGGGGAGACTGATAAAATCTTTGCGGTTTGTTGGAGGCCTTTTTCGTGTATAATTTGTAACTCTACTTACGTGTCTTGATATTTAGAACGTTTTGTATTGCATCAGGGAGGAAGATAATCATCAATGACTCGTCGCTACTTCGTCAACAGGAAGAAAAACGCGAAAGATTGCCCCCTTTTTTGTGTTATTTTCCCCTAAAAAAAGGTGCATTTTTGAGGGGGGGAAAGAGGTCTCGGGATCAGTTTTTATGTTATCTAAACGCGTAAACAATTTTTTATCGCGTATGACACTCGATCCCCTTCGATATAAAGCGTTTTTTGATCGTCGAAACCACCCTCCTCTTAGTATCACATGTGGCTTCTGTGCTTGTAAATGAAAAAAGTAGGCTCAAGACCTTAAAATGCAGGCTATAAACCTATATAAATGCATACTATGCAGGATAAATGCTAAGCAGATATTGATGCCGAGCCTTAACTATTATAACGTTTTCGATTATGTTGACGCGCCTGTTAGTATCTTAAATGCCTGAAAATAAGCACCAAAGATTCGTAAAATAAATTTGGCAATGAGCCTTAATCATAGCGTGATTTTAAAGT